ACAGAGAGCAAAGGCATTTTAAATTCCCTAGGGGTTTCTCTGAGATACCTCAGAAGCTTCTTGAAGGGAGGTGAGGAATGATCGGGTGAGACTCTGCATATATCCTCTTCCCTGCCCCTACCCTCTTCAACCACACTGTTTAGTTAGGACTGCTCTATTTTGATGCATTTTTCACATAGAGCATAGATATAAGATTTCCTTTAAAGAAAGAATTCTGTGGCATAACAGTGATTCACATATACCTTAAAAATCAGTAATGTTCCATTTTACAGATGAGGAAACTGAGGCCCTGACAAAGGCTGTTGTCCATGATGCCAAAACAAGGCACACCATGCTGTTTGTTGGCACCCAAGCACGTGCTGTTTCCAGGACAACAGCAAAGCCTGTTCTCCACCCAGCCCTGATGCCAACATGGAGTTATATAGGGCTCAGAGGCTTCTCAGCAGGAACAAAGCAGGCTGAGGATGGGGACAGAGAGGGCCTGGGATGTTTCATCAGGGCTTGGTGGCAGAGGAGCTCATCTCGGGGAGCAGCTTAGCGTTACAGATGACATGGATAATATAGAACTGGCCTGTCACATCTAGAGGAACTTACAAACAGGTATGGGAATATAACATTCTGTGCATTATCAGGGTCAGTTTATGGAGAGATGACATTCTGTGCTCTATAAACAAAAGGGTACAGCAATACTTGTTTTACTTGTCAATTCAGATACGATATACGTACATACCTACAAACATGCACATATCTTTTTAAGCACTAAGTGCCTCCTGCTGCTCAAAGATAAAAATGCACAGAGAGTCAAAATTTTATTCTTCAGATCTGTTCAACAAGGAAGTGAATCACGGAACCCAGGAACTTAAGGAACACAGGAGTCGTCTAACAAGAGTCACGGTATTCCCAGGGAGAGCCTGCGGGGACTGGGCAGGTGACATAATGGAGGAGGGCGGGGTGTGTGTGCGGTTCAAGCAATTCTAAAAGGCAGGTCTTCAAAGACATGAAGAGTACATTTAGTCTCCCAGAGTGTTCAGAGTTTTAGTATTATTTATTTTAAAAAATAATGGATTCTCATGGTATACAGTGCCAAGGGTACATACAAAAAAGGATTCATTGCAAAGTAAACCTCCCTCTCCCTGTGTTGCCCAGCCGAGCTCTCCTCCCAGGAGGAGAGGTAGACTCTACCTGTAAAGATATTTTTACACAAATGATAGCATACTATAAACACCGTTTTTTTTCCTTTTGGATTTTTTTTTTTTAGTTTAACTTATCTTGGAGCTCTTTTCATATCTCTACATAAGCTCTTTGTTCTTTTTTGTAAAACAGGTTCATAATATTCCATTGGATGAATGTACCAGTGAACATTTAATTTGTGTCCATGGTTTGCTATTATAAGCAATGCTGTAATTTATAACTTTGTGTATGTCATTTTGCATATGTGTGGGTATATCTGTAGGATAATTTCCTAAAAGTGGAAATTTCTTTCCTTCTTAAAGGGTTATGTGTATTTTTTTAATTGCTTTGAGATTTTACAGACATGCCAAGAAGTTAACAAATGGTAACATAGCATTTAATGAACCTTTACATATGTATCCACACCTATAATCAACACCAAAGTCAAGATGTAGAACATTACCAGCACTATAGGAGCCTCCGCCTTGACCACTCCTGGTCAATATTTGCCTTCCCCAAAGGCAATTACTGGTATAACCTGTACAATCATAGATTAGCTCTGCCTCTTCTTGATTGTCATATAAATGGAATTATCCAGTACATACTCTTTTGGACTGGCTTTTTACCTCAACACTGTCTTTAACTCAGCTATGCTGTTGCATGTAGTTAGAGTTTCTTGCTTTTCATTGCACGTGTCTTTTGGTGGACCATTTGTCTTGCATTCATTTTTCTTGAGTGGAACTGCTGACTCATAGGGTAAACCTCCCCCAGGTCATAGAGTGGGCCTACGTTGAGTCTTCCATCAGGAATGCATGAGCGTTCTAGTGTCTCAGTACTTGGTATATACCATCTTTTACACTTTTAACCATGCCAGTGGATGTGTAAAGGCATTTCATTATGATTTTCATTTGCATTTCTCTGATGACTAACAGTGTTGAGCAGTTTTTCATGTTCTTTAGGCCAGCAGGATATTTTCTCTTGTGAAGTGCTTATTTAAGCTATTTTTGTTAGGTTGATTTTTTAAACTGATTTGTAGGGGAGTTTTATGTATTATGGATACAAATACTTTTCCACTATATGTATTGTAAATCATTAGCTTTCCTTTTTACTCTCCTAATTTTTTTTAATGAAAAGAAATTCTTAATTTTAACCAAGTCCAAATTATCAATCTTTTCTTTCATGGCTAGTATTTTGAGTGTGTGTCTTCTACAAGGCTTTTCTGTCTACCTCAAGGTCATGAAGATGTCCTTCTATGGTCTTTTGTAGAAGCTTTGTAATTTTGCATTTCACACTTTGATCTATAATCCTTTCAGAATTGATTTTATGTGTGGTGTAACATAGAGATGTCTTAGTCCATTCCGGCTGCTATAACAAAATTCTATAGACTGGGTGGCTTATAAACAACAGAAATTTATTCCTCACAGTTCTGGGGGCTGAAAAGTCTAAGGTGAAGGCCTCGGCAGACTCTGCCTGGCAAGAATCTGTTCCTATTTGATAGATAACCATGTTCTTACTAAAACTTCACTTGGTAGAAGGGGAAAGGGAGCTCTCTGGGGCCTCTTTTATTGAAAGTTTAATAATCCTATTCATGAGGGCTCTGCCTTCATGACCTACTCATCTCTCAAAGCTCCATCTCCAAATACCATCACATTGGGGATTAGTATTTCACACATTTAGTCTATAGCAAGGGGGTAAGATTCATTTTTTCCCATGTGGATATCAAACTCAGCAAGGGGTTTGTGCATTTTAAGTTTTGATATACCTCTCTACATTGCCCCCCAGAAAGGTTGTATCAATTTGTATTTCTACCATTAATATCAAAGATGGCTATTTTCCCACACTCTTGTCAACACAGTGCAAGTGGATTTTTATGGGCTTTTTTGAGGAGTGAGCGCCTCTGGTGGCATTAGGACAGTGAAGAAGGGAGAAGAAAAAGGCAAATGTTCTTAACCACTGGGTAAAGTTGTAACCTCTCTCTGTTTGCAGTGGTGTTTCTCTGGTTAACCCAACCTGGCCCCAGTGACTTCTGGGTGACAGGTCTCTATATGCTGACTCTGTTAGGGAGTATATATGGGAATTCTTGAAAGATTCTTTTGGGGGCCTGTCCACTGCCAGTATTTTCGACAAGGAGATTTGGCTCTGCTTCAACTTCTTTCATTCTCACCCCTCCAATGGTTAAGAGCACTGTGTCTGGTCACGTTAACCTAGGTTTGAATCCCAGATGTACTACTTATTCTCTGTGTAACCATGGGAAGATTAACTAAACCTCTCTGATATTCAGTGCCTTCATCTGTAACATGGGGGTATGTATTACTCAGATTTCATTAGGCAAGCCATGTTAGAAACAATCCCAAATTTCAGTGGTGTCTAAAAGCAAAGGCTTATTTTTCACTCATGTGACATGTTAGATGTGGGCTGCTTCACATCTCTTTTTCCTTCCAGGATCCATGGAGAGGGAGCAACCTCATCAGGGACAGGCCATTCTTATGAAAGGAAAATGATCAAGAGAGCTGGTGGAAATACATCCTGGCTCTTTACACTTCTGCTCAGATGTGCTGGAAGACACTTCCATTCACATTCCATTGGCCAAAGGACGTCATATGATCAAACCTGACACCAGTGAGGCTAGAAAGGACACTCCTCCCGCAGGATGCATTGCTGTCACATGGCAAAGGTAGTGACCTATGATCCTTAAGAGGAAGAGCTACTTAATAGTTGGGAACAGTACCACCTACCACAGGATAACAACAGTACCTTCCTTATGGTTGTTGTGAAAATCAAATAAGGCAAAACCCATCCACTGCTTAACATAGGTCTCTGCAAGTAACAAGTACTCAAGACCTATTAGATGCTATTATTATTACTTCCTGGTGCTGCTGAAAGTATCTGTTCACTGGACTGGGCTAACGCTGACTTGAGAGTTAGAAAAGGAGTTGTAATTACTCCTAATATTTAATTTGGAGACAATAAAACATTGAGTCTAAGAGGATAGGCTTTATACTAATATAGACTCCTCCTTATTAAGTGGATGATCTTAGACAAGTTACTTAACTTCATTGTGCCTTAGTTTCCTCAACCTGAATATGGGGATCCTTGGGACTCTATTGCAGGCTTGTCATTAGGACCAAATTAGCCCAATTCTGTGTACACAGTAGGTGCTGAGTATTTGTTTAATTACTGAATGCGGATTCTAAACTACACTCAAATATTCAATGAACTATGCATAATATAACTGCAATACTGCTGTATGGAAAGCCCTTAACCGCTCTTTTCAAATCTTTTGGGTCTCAGCTCAGATGTCACCTCCTCAGAGATACCGTCCCTGACCACACTATTTAAAGTGCCTTCCCCCAATCTCTTAGTCACTTCTTCCCACTTTCTTGTCTTTACGACTCTGCTCACTCTCTGAAATTGTCTTGTTCATTCATAGGTTTAACATCTGTCTCTGCCACCAGAAAGAAGGCTCATCGGGGATTTTGTTTTCCGTATTCCCATCACTTGTCCTGGGCCTCAGTATCCTCATCAGGAAAAGTGGAGGGCTAAAGAGGAAGGGGACGAGGTGAAAGCTAGGCAGTCCCCCTGAGCCCTGCGCCCTGCCCAACTCTAGCCTCTGACGTCCCTCAGGCCGACACCACGTCTAGCCTGCGGCGGTGAGGCCCCGCCCATGTGGGCGTGGCCCCAATGTTGTGCAGGCCGCGTGCAGACGGTCGTCCACTGGAGGCGAGGTACGTCACACGCACGCAGGCCCTACCCTTCCCTACCTCGCCACAGGCGGAAGAAGGGCGTGTCCAGGCGCTAGGTCCCCACAGCCGCCGGCGCCGACGCCTGAATCGCCTCCAGGTGGCTGATCCGCCCCTGGCCGCTCAGGCAGTTCGAAAGCCACTCTGTTTGGGGTCCTCGTCGCCCTTCCACGTCTCCCGGAAGAGCAGCAGGGCCGCTGCGGGTCCGGGACCAGGTTCCATCAACCTGGTCCCTCTCCGGGCCGACTGCTGTTGTGGGGAGAGGCCCAGGAGGGCGGCGAGGCCGCAGCGCAGCCAGTCCGGAGTCCTCAGGTGAGGCGGTAGCGAGGGTCTAGCGGGGCCGGACTGGTGTGCTTGGGGAGTTAACGGCCTTACGGGGCTAGCGTCCCGTTAGCGGAGGCTCTGGTCTCCCCACCTTGTCCGGGGCTGAGGAAGGGGGCAGGAGAGCCGCCTTAGGGTTCAGCCAACGTTTAGTGAATTCCCTTTCCTCCCTCCATACACCCGCAGCCTGTTTAGCCTCCTGTCCGCCTCCAGAGGCTCATTAGCGTGGGTGGAGAGCCAAGTGCGGGTGTGTACTCTCCTGCCTGGGGTCCACTGACGACAGACTACCTGGGGCCGATCGACTGACCATCCGCGTCCCCGTGTGGACTCCTGGCCTTCGAAGCAGGCCCCGCCGCCGCCTTCTGCAGATCCCTCCCCTTCACGTTCCACGCACTCACCCTCTCTTAACCTCCGTGTGGACCATTTTCTGGGGCAGTGCCTGAGGAATTATTTGAGGGCTCTGTACCCCTGAAGCCTGCTAGAATTGTTTGTCAGTGCGGCAAGTTCCCAGAGCCCATCTTAGTATTTAATTGGATAATCAACATTAAGGAACAGGCTTTTGTTTTAAAGATCTTACTAACTTTAAAGTGGGAGGTGAGATATAAGGAATTAATAAGGGTATTTTGATTGCTTTATTGGGAGAGGTAATTTGCCTCCCAGTCACCTTCAGTGTTTGCTTGAGAATAATACTTTACATCTGTAGGGAGTTTTCTATGTTATAGAGCATTTCTCCTCCATTTTTGATTTCACCTAAACTCTGAAATACACAGGCATATAGTAGTCCTCATTTTGTAAGGAACAGGTTTAGAGAGTGGGTTTCTTCTTGAGATTATTAAAATACTGAGAGGCTAAATGGGGAAGACAGGGGCTAAAAAGTGGATTTGGCTGACTTATTTTGGAGTATCTGAGCTGCCATCTAAACTCTGGGATCTTTCAAAACCTTTTTCCCATTTGTGAAAAAGAGATAAGGCCACTTGCTGCATAAATGTGTTTGTGAAAATTATGTGGATAAAGATAATGTTTGCATGGCATCTGACATAAAGGTTAATTCCATTCAGCAGTGTTTAAGGGTGCCTACTGTGTGCTGGGAATTCATTGGTGAGCAAAACAGGCATGGCCTTTTTTCACCCACTCCCCTCCTCCCTCTTCTCAATAAGGAGAGGGGGGGAAAAATAAAAATTTACAGTTTGTGATGGAAAAGAATAGCATATGAACAGAGAATGATAGGACCTAATTTGGACGGAAAGAAAGAAAACTCTTTTTGAAGCAGATGACATTCAAGTGAAGACTAAGAATGACTTAACCATGAAAGCACTCCCAGCAGAAGGAACAATGTGCACATTCAAGATACGGTTGTTCACTTTTTTATACAGTACTCTTTCGTTTGTATCACTGGCACTAATTACCTCATCACTATTCTGATTCATTCTAGGACTGCATAAGTATACTCAAATATATGTATCAAATACATGACTATACAATCATTTTTAAAATTCTGAACTTAGCTTACTGTGCACATAGTAGGTGCTGAGTATTTAAACTATTGAAGGTGTATTTCAGACAGATTGTGTGTGCACACCTAAGTTATCCATAATAGGGCTGCATCTAACACAAAGATAGATTTTGTATTAGAAGTTTCTTCAAGTTTCAGCATCTTCAATTTCAGAAAACTATTGTTTTCATTTGTGCTGGAATTTTGCCATATTTGTTTTTGCTGTTTGGATGCTTTTACTACATAAATGCTTGTCTTTTGTTGAAATAGGAGTAAGAACAATGGTAGTAGTTGTAAATATAATAGCAACTACTGAAATAAGTGCCTGCTGTGTGTCAGGCATTTAGCAAAGTGTTTCATAAAGTCATCTTAAAACCATCCTATAATGTAAGTTCACTTATTTTCCTCATTTTCTAGGTAAAGTTTCTCAGTTTCAGTTAATTTGCCCAGGGTTATGTAGCTAGTAAGAGGCAGGACTATCTGACTCCAGAGCCTGGTCTTAACTGCTGTGTTCACTTTATGTCCTTTTTACAGGTTCACCGGTAGGATTTTTCTGCTACCATCATGTCTTGGTTTGCTGATCTTGCTGGAAAGGCAGAAGACCTTTTAAACAGAGTTGATCAAGGAGCTGCAACAGCTCTCAGTAGAAAAGAGAACACCAGCAACATCATATACAGCAAAAATACTGACCTTTCTGAACTTAACCAGCAAAATACAGATTTGACTTACCAGACTGGGCCTAAAGCTACTTACATTTCCTCAGCAGCTGATAGCATTAGAAATCAAAAAGCCACCATTTTAGCTGGCACTGCAAATGTGAAAGTGGGATCCAGGACATCAGTGGAGGCCTCCCATCCTGTTGAAAATGCATCTGGTCCTAGGCCTTCATCCCAGTTTGTTCGAAGAAAAAAGTCAGAACCTGATGATGAGCTTCTGTTTGATTTTCTTAATAGTTCACAGAAGGAGCCTGCTGGGAGGGTGGAAATCAAACGAGAAAGGGGCAAGACACCTGTCCCTCAGAGTTCTCAGACAGCAAGTGTCAGTTCTGTGAACACCAGTGTAACCACCACCAAAACCATTGAAGAAAATCCTTCTGGGAGCCAAAACCATGGTAGTTAATCAGTCCTCTGTTTCTTTTAGAGTTAAGCAAATTGGATGTGTCATTGTAGCCTAAAGAAGTATTACCTGTCCCCAGTGGTGTAAGGGCAGCCTCTTTGAAATGTGAGGTAAACAAGGGAGATTGCATGGAATCCTATTAGTATACAGTTATAGCAAGGACCTTTGGTTGTTTGTAGGGTAACTTTATCCTGTGCAGCATCTAAGAAGTCTGTCCAAAATAATTCTCTGAGATGTTTTGAGATAGAAAAAAGACAGTTTTTAAAATCTAAAAACAATTTTGAATTTGAGACTATCTCAATTCATTTCTTTTTGTCGTTGGCATTGTAAAAATGACAGAAGACTATACTCCACACATATTCTGAATTATGAGTTCTTGCTTGTTTTCCCTACATCTCCCAGAAGTAAAGCTGAAAGACTGAACCTCCCAAGCTGAAGGGTTGAAGATGTTGACCTAGTGATGAAATGGGAGCTTAGAATTCTGGTTTTCAGTTGTTTAATTTACTGTGAAATTATCTCTATCTGTACATCATCTCACCTGAAAAAATGTGGCTAATTCAAGCACCTACTATTTTAAATAGCAATAACCATGATGGGTTATTGCAGGGAAACTATATAAATTTGATGATTGATGGAAGCTTGTTTTGTTCTCAAATGCAATAGCTTCTCGGTCTTGGTTATTAGTTAATAAATAAATAAGACCTGTCCTGCTATTAAATAAGTAAAAAGTGGCAAAGAGGCAAAGATTTTGGACTTTCAAGATAGGAGCATGTAAGAGCAGTTGATTATGTACATAAACTCCCAAGTTTCTTCTCAGCTATTTGATTAGTTATACAAACATTTATCGAGAACCTACTAGGTGCCAGGATAAGAAGTGAATGGTTCGGGATCTAGTGGGTGAGATAGACTCGTAAACAGATAATTTATGTATAATGTCGTAAGTGCAGTAATTGGCATGGTCACAGTGTTACGGAAACATAAAGGAGAAGGTAACTAATTGAGAAAGATTTATCAGGTAAGGATTTACAGAGGGCCTGTAACTTTAGCTGGGTCTTAAAAGAACAAATAGCAGTTTTCCAGGTGACGAGGGGTTGGTGATAGTATTCCATGCAGATTCTTTAAAAGTTTGGTAAAATAGGTGTCCTAGGACCAGTGATTATGAGATGAACAACATTAAGGAAATTTAAGCTAGCAAAGAAAGTTGGGACCAGTGTGTAAAAGGGCCTCTTTGTGAAGGCTCTTGTATGCCACTGTTCACTTGTTTAAACCCATTATTCCTATAAATCATTCTTAAAAAGTGGTCTCTGGCCAGCCTGCATTAGAACCACTTGTGTGATTCATAAAAAAATGAATTACTGGGTGCCTCCCCAAACCCCCTTAATCAGATTTTCAGGAAAAGGCTCCTGGGATGGAGTCAGGCCGTCTGAATGTTTTGTTCTCCAGGTGGTTTCTAGGCCAGTAGAAGTTGAAAGTGGCCTAACAATGTGATGCTAATAGAGGTTTAAGCCTAAAGTTGACATGAATTATTTTTTTGCTTTTAAGGAAAACAGCTTACATTTAACTGTGAAGGATGGATCAAAGGAAATAAGTTAGAACCAGTTAATACATTAGAGTTACTGAAAATTAAGTTTTGTTTCTTTAGGGCAGGATCTCAATCTTGGGACATTTTGGACTGAATAATTCTTTTTCATTGTAGCAGCTTCCCTGGCCCTTAACCCCTGAGATGCCAGTAGCATCCCAAGTTGTGGCCACCAGAAATGTCTCCATATATTGCCAAATGTCCCTTGGGGGGACAGAATTGCCACATGTTGAAAATCAATGCCCTAGGATGCCTAGAAATGCTTAAAAATGAAATTGCTGAGTTATAGGGTGTGGTGGTATTTAACTACACTAGTAACACCAACATTTTCCCAAGACATTGTCCCGCATTTATACTTCACCAGCTGTAATTAAGAGTTTCTACTCTGCATTCTCATCAACATTTGATGTTTTCAATATGACTTTTTATGTTTCTCTAATAAGGTATGAAAAGGTTTATTTTTATTTTTTACTTATTACAAATGAGGTTGAGCATCTAATATTTGACTATTCAGGTTTCACCTTCTGGGAAGTACCTATTCAAGTTTGTTGATCAGTTTTTTCCATTTGGTCATTTGTCTTTTTCTTTATTGATTCACATATTCTTTATGTATTCTAGATGGCAATTCTTTCCCATCTTCCTTCCAGTTTTACCATCCCCAAACCATGGTGTCTCAATGAATAAAGGTCTGAATGTAGATGAATGTATCAATTTTTTCTTTATGGTTTGTATTTATATATTAGAAAAATTTTCCCTACCCTAAAGTCATGAAGATATTTTCATATATTTTAAGAATTTTATAGCTTTGCCTTTCATGTTTTTATGAAATGGTATGAGGTAGGCATCTAACTCCACTTATTCCTGTGTATTAGTAATCTCAGCATCATTCACTGAAAATGTTTCCTTTCACTATCAGCAGTACCACCTCTGTCTTATGTAGAGTATCCATCTATACGTTGCTGTCTGGGCACTTACTTCCATTTCATTGGTCTATTTGTTGATATCTCATAAAGCAATGTCTACCATCTTGTTTTTTTTCAAGAATGTTTTGGCTATTCTTGGACTTATGTACATCTATATTCATTTTAGACTTCACCAAGTTTTACAAAATTCTGTTGGTCTTTTGATCGGCAGTCCATTGCTTCTATCTTAGACAGTTGGGTGAGAATAGTGTCTTTACAATATTGAGTTTTCTAACCCATTAATATGTTATAATTTCAACTTATTTTTTAAATGTCTTTCATTAAGATTTTATGATTTTCTCCATTAAGGTTTTGCATACTTTTTGTTAGATTTATTCCTGGGTTGTTTATTTTTTTTTGAAATTACTATAAATGGCATCCTTTTAAAGTTTTTACTTTGTTGCTGCTCTGTTGGTTTTTGGCACACAGCAACCTAGATAGCTCTTAATCTTATTTTTCTGTACATTCATGTAGATTTTCAACAACACAGTATTATCTGTGAATAATGACAGTTTGGTTTCTTCTTAAACTTTTATCTTTTTAAAAAAATCTTTTCCTTGACTTGCTGCATTGGCTAGGACTGAAAACCAATTTTGTACTATGTTCCTTGTCTTAAATGAAATACTTTGACTGTTTCATGAAATAGGGTGTTTGGTTAGGTTTTTCATAGTACTTTTTATAAAGTGCTCAGGAAAGTTTCCATATATATCTAGCTTGAGTTTTTATGATGAATTTTAGCAATTATTTTCCTGTATGTTCAAGATATCATATGATTTTTCTTCTTTAATATTAATAAGATATACAAATCAATTGATTTTTTAAATATGTAAAACCAAACTTAACTTTCAGCTTGCTAATATTCTGTTTACAGTTTTGCATTTACTTATTAAGTGAGATTGACCTGTAATATTGTTAGGTTTTAGTATAACAGCTATGTTAGCATTATAAAATGAATTGGAAAGTGTTCCCTATTTTTCTTCATTATTTGATCTAAGACTAAGATTATTCCCTGAATGTTGTCTAGAACTCATTGTTAAAACCATCATAGGGCCTGGGGTATTCTTAGTGGAAGATTGTAACTAACAATTCAGTTGGTTCTCCATTTCTTCTGGTTTTGGTGAGTTATATTTTTTTTTCCTAAGAATTTGTCTACTTCATATACACTTGGGATTATATTTATTTTACTTAATTTCAGGAAAATAATGAAGGTGTCAAGCTAAAAATGTAACACAGTCAGACACTAATCATTTACAATAATCCTGCAGAAACCAAAGTTTGATCACAGATACTACCTGAAGAATATCAATATTTGGTAGGGTGCCAAATGCCTATTTTTGAAAACAGCATTATTAAAGTATTCCTGACATACAATAAATTACACATATTTAAAGTATATAGTTTGATGGGTTTCAGTATCATGTAAATTTAAAAAATTAATGGCATAATGTTTATAACATCTCCCTTAGAAGACCTTTTTTGGTTATATTGATCCTTTCATATATTTCTTTTCTATTTCTGGTCTTATTGTTCATTTCTGCTTCTTTTGGGTTTATTTTGCTGTTTCTATAATCCTGAAGATGGATGTATAACTTATTTTCTTCCTTCCTTGAATTTTTTTTTTTTTTGCCACTGGTTTGTTCTTTTTATTGTTCAATCAGATATTATCTTACAATTTGTGTTCATTTAAAAAGCACATCTCTAAATCTTATTTCATTCCTCTCCTATCCAGCCTGTCTTTTTCATTTTTGACATGTATCTTTTTTTATATTATTTCTTTTTTTTAAGGTATTCTTGATATACACTGTTATGAAAGTTTCACATGAAAAAACAATGTGGTTATTACATTCAGCCATGTTACCATGTCCCCCCCATACCCCATTGCAGTCACTGCCCAACAGTATAGTAAGATGCCAAAGAGTCACTGTTTGCCTTCTCTGTGCTACACTGTCTTCCCCAAGATCCCCCCCTACACCGTGTGTGCCAGTCATAATGCCCTCAATATCATTCTTCCTCCCTCCCCAGTCACCGTCCCCCACCCCTCCCCTTTAGTAACCACTGGTCCCTTCTTGGAATCTGTAGTCTGTTGCTGTTTTGTTCCTTCAGTTTTGCTTCATCATTATACTCCACAAATGAGGGAAATGATTTGGTACTTGTCTTTCGGTGCCTGGCTTATTTCACTGAGCATAATATCCTCCAGCTCCATCCATGTTGTTGCAAATGGTAGGATTTCTTTCTTTGTTATGGCCAAATAGTGTTCCATTCTGTATATGTACCTCATCTTCTTTATCCATTCATCTACTGATAGACAGGTAGGTTGCTTCCAATTCTTGGCTATTGTAAATAGTGCTGCAATAAACCTAGGGGTGCATATGTCTTTTTCAAACTGGGCTCTTGTTTTCTTAGGGTAAATTCCTAGGAGTGGAATTCCTGGGTCAAATGGTATTTCTATTTTTAGTTTTTTGAGGAACCTCCTTATTGCTTTCCACAATGGTTGAACTAGCTTACATTCCCATCAGCAGTGTAGGAGGGTCCCCTTTCTCCACATCCTCACCAGTATTTGTTGTTTAGTCTTTTCGATACTGGCCATCCTAACTGGTGTGAGGTGATATCTCATTGTGGTTTTTATTTGCATTTCCCTGATAATTAGTGATGTATGGAGCATCTTTTTATGTGCCTGTTGGCCATCTGAATTTCTTTAGAGAATTGTCTCTTCATATCCTCTGTCCATTTTTTAATCAGGTTATTTGCTTTTTTGTGTTGAGGCGTGTAAGTTCTTTATACATTTTGGATGTTAACCCCTTGTTGGATATGTCATTTACAAATATATTCGGTCATGCTATAGGATGCCTTTTTGTTCTGTTGGTGGTGTCCTTTGCTGTACAGAAGCTTTTTAGCATGATATAGTCCCACGTGTTCATTTTTGCTTTGCTTATGTTTACCTTGCTTGAGGAAATGCATTCAGGGAAAAGTTGCTCATGTTTATATTCAGGAGATTTTTGCCTATGTTGTCTTCTGAGAGTTTTATGGTTCCTTCCCTGAATTTTTAATGTAAATATTTAAGACATAAGTATCCTTTTAAATATACTTTAGATATATTCCAGAAGTTTGTATATACTTTCTTTTTAAAATCTTTATTTTGGAAATTTTCAACATACCAAAGTAGAGATTGATGACACTATTATCCAGCTACAGTAATCAACAGCTCATACCCATTGTTGTTTCATTTATACCCTCCCATTTCCTATCCTTTTTTCTCTTACTTCCACAGAATTATTTTGAAGCAAATCACAGATCTTGTATCATTTCTTTGATAAATATTTCAGTTTATTGCTCTAAAAAATAGCAAGCTTTAAAAACAAACATCCATACCATTATCACCTTAAAATTTAATAATTCTGTAGTATCACCAGGTACCTAGTTAGCATTCAGATCTATGTCTCAAGATTTTTTACATATATCAAAATGCAGAAATCTTAGCTATACAAATGGCTCTACCTGTAATTTTTTGCACTTTAGGTTTGTTTTTGTCTGTTCTAAAACTTCATATAAATCAGACTCTGTAGTATGTATACTTATCAGATTTCTTTTACTCAACATGTTAGTAAGATTCAGCCAAGTCATTGAGCATATCAATAATTTGTTCTTTTTTATTGTTGTGTAGTGTCCTATTATATGGATATACCACAATTTATCTGTTCTCTTTTTGGACATTGGAATTGTCTCTAGTTTTTGGTTATAAATAAAGCTGCTATAAACATTTTTTACTTGTCTATTTGTTGGAACGTATTTTCATGCCTCTTAAAATACCTAGGAGTGGAATTACTAGGTCAAATGCTAGATGCATTTCATAAGAAGTTGTGAAAACCTTTTTCCACAGTGATTATGCCATTTTATACTCCCACCAGCAATCTGTGAGTGTTCCAGTTGCTCCATGTCCTCACTAACATTTGGTGGTGTCTTTTTAATTGTTGCCATTTTAGCTGGTTTTAGTTTACATTTTCTTGATCATTAAAGATGTTGAGAATTTTTCATCTGTTTATTAATCATTTATCTTCCTTTGTAAAGTATCAAATCTTTTGCCCATACAGCTATTGTCTTAGTCTGTTTTATCATTTATATATAGTTCATTTTTTAGCACGGACCAATTTTTTTTACGGTAAGTAAAAAGTGTATTTGTACCACTGTAACAAAAACAAGATCTCAATTCATGAGTTTATCTCTGGGTAAGGCATTTTAGATCCCAGTTTGGTGTATACCAGTTTGCTCTGACCTGTTTTTACTGTCCTTGCCTTGAAGCTCACAGCTCTTCTTTTGTGCCTTTCAAATCTTTTCAATGTTAAGACTTCCCTTTTCTTTCAGAAATGGTTTGGCGACAAAAGAGAAACTGAAACCCTTTTTACCTAAAGCCAACCACTTAAATTATTTTTGATTTTCTCTTTCCTAGAACTCTGTCTATTCTTTATTATCATTCATTCAGTGAACTGAATGATACCTATTCATTGACATCATTATGATATTGGTGGTATTATAAAGATATCTGTTCTTCATCATCATTCAGTGTGTCCAGACTTTGAGGATCCTTAGAGGTCTATAGGCTCCATGTGTGAGAATGAAATTTTATCAAAGGGAAGTCTGTTGAGAATATAAGTTTATTTTTTATGGTATTTTAGCTGTAGCAGACAACTTGAGCTAAAAAGCAATCTACCAAAGTAAGTTACTAATGTGTATGTAGTGAGCATCCCAATGTAACAAAAACGTGTTCTTTTTTTCCAGAAACCTCTAACTCTAATAATTCAGATTCTGGCCATGAAGCCCAAGAGGATTCTTCAAAGGAAAATGTCTCATCAGATACTCCCTGTGCTGATCACAATCCAGCACCTCCTGATGGCGGCAAGTCACACGAACTATCTAATCTTCGACTGGAAAATCAACTGCTGAGGAATGAAGTTCAATCTTTAAATCAAGAAATGGCCTCATTACTTCAAAGATCCAAGGAAACTCAAGAAGGTAGAACTGTATTTAAATTGTCCAGAATTAGGAATTTAACATTTCAGAAATAAATTAAAAACTTGATTGTATCTAAACTGTTAGAAATATTTTTCTAATAAATAAGTAAAATAATGTTTTCATAGAAACACAGGGCTCCGATTTGGAAACGGGACCAGTCATCCACCAACCCAAAGCAGGGAACATTGGCTTGTTTGGTCATTCTTTAGGAACCATAAAGATTAAGGGCTGAGAAGAACAGAGCATTAATAATCATCTGATTCATTTGGTTGATTTATTTTAAACCTTCAAGGGGGGCACCTGTTCATGAACCAAAGGTGGATATAGAGTGGTAGACGCTAGTACACAAGGTCACAGTATTGCCCTGCTCTGGGGGATATCAAGTGAATGTGGAACTCATTTTGCATAGTACTTGCTGGCATCGTGCAGTGAAGTGGTCCTACAGTAGGAAACTCAGATCCCTCAGAAATAGGTAATTAAAAAGTGAATAATCCCATGGCTGAGTTAGTGGTCGGGGATATGAGAGTGTTAATAAGCGTAGCTGAGGAGAAAACAAAAGACACCTCTGCCTTGGCCACTGCGGTGATCAGGAAGGAGTGCAGGGACAGTGGGAAAAGTTTTGCCAAGACATGGATAGAGGCCCATGAGAGTGCAACTGGAAGATAGTTTAAGACATTAGAAAAAGCTTCACCTTACCTACACTAATGTGGACAGAAATAGAGCTTTTCCTGATATCCTGTAGCATTTGCTTCAATATTAAATTTTTTAAAAATTTTGCCAGCAAACTGCAGTTACAGATGGTATATGAGGGTATGCTCTGCTCTTTTTGCATCAGTTTCCTAGGTTAAAAGAATAGCATCTTTTTTGCCACAGCAGTTGAAAGAAAGGTTTTTTCCTGTATTTATCTTCAGGTTTTGTTTTTGTTTTGGTCTTACTAGGATGTACATTATCTACCCCTGCTTTGAATTTGCATTCTTCCCTAACTGGCAGAAGTCTGCAGATTCACTGACTGATTCAGTGTTGTAGACTCACTGTTCTACTGGTTTCAGCTCCCAAATGCATCATGATATAGCTGCAGATGTAGAACAGCTAGTGTGTCTAGCCTATTAGCTGTAATATAGATGTGAGCGTTGGCCTTGAAAAATGAGTGTCCTTTTTTGAGCAAAAAATTTGAAGATATTTTTAAGCTCCTAATTTTGGCAATAAGTACTAACAGGACTCAAAGGAGAAGCTATGTATGCCCTGAGAATGATACGTTTGCTTGAATATAGAAACTTCTTTTGTTTTTTTAGAATTAAACAAAGCAAGAGCAAGAGTTGAGAAGTGGAATGTTGACCATTCGAAGAGTGATCGAATAACTCGGGAACTTCGAGCCCAAGTAGATGACCTGACCGAAGCAGTGGCTGCGAAGGATTCCCAGCTGGCTGTACTGAAAGTGAGGCTACAGGAAGCCGACCAGCTGCTGAATACTCGCACAGAAGCCTTAGAAGCCTTACAGAATGAAAAATCACGGTAACTAATTTATTAATCATGAGAAAATGAGCTAGAATGATTCTCTTTCCAATACAAGTAATGATAAGCATTGTAATGTATGCTACCCTATGAAAATCTACCTTGTAGAAATTTACAAGAGGGAGAATCTTTTGGTAATATTAGACGTGTGTGATTAAAAATTGATTTATTTGAATCGAGATGCATTGTTAGGAAAAATATTTGAAGAGCAGTGTCATTAATCTCTCAACATATAATGAATGAGTTGTGGTATGTGCTTATGTGTGGATGCCCAAAAATATAGATTACATTCCATGAAAAGGGAAAAGGATTTATTTACGAATATTTTAGCCAAACCATCTTTTTGGTGCCAGCAAGCCAGTGCTGTAGGTATTACTCTACCTTGTCGATTGTACACTGTGGAAAAGAGTTATTTCAAGTGATGTATTTTCTTTTAGAATAATACAGGATCACAGTGAAGGTAGTAGCCTACAGAATCAAGCTCTGCAAACCCTTCAGGAGAGACTGCATGAAGCCGATGCCGCTCTGAAGAGAGAGCAGGAGAGCTATAAGCAAGTGCAGGTTGGAATGGGGGACAACAGACTTTTTTTATTTGGATGAGGGGAAAATGACTATGCTGTTACACATTTACCCAAATTCTGCAGCACGTTTCAGAAAATTGTTTCTGTGTCAAAAGCCAAGTGTTTGAAAATTCAGCTTGATTCTGCTAAATTTATTTAATTTTATGTATTGAAATACAGTTGAAGTAGTTAATATTCATTACAGATCGACATCATTTAATTTAATTTTGTTGTGCAACCAACATTACCATTATTTGATTGGGGTATTTTGTTTATTCTTTCTATTTAAGCATTTTCTGAGTCCAATTTAATCTTACTAATTTTTTTCCAGAGAAAATTATACATAATATTTAGAGTTTTACTCTTAAATGATTATTTGTATCCAGTTGAGTGATTCTCAACCCTCTCTACACATTAGAATAATCTGTGCAGCTTTTAGTACTTCTGAGCTGGTTCTGCACTCCCAGAGAGTCTGATCCCATTGTATGAGGTAGGGCAGAGGCATTGCTGTTTTGGGTTTACTTTGCAGATGTATTTGTGAGGTATTCAGGTTGAGAACCTCTAGACCAGGTGTTCTTTTCAACAGACAAAAATAGTTTGGCCCTGAAAATAAATATGAGCTAATGTGGGTTTTAAAAAATTTGATTGATATATAATATTTAACACTGTATATCCAAAGTACTATCATCTTCTCATGAGTTAATATTAAAAAATTATTCATGAGAAATTTTACATTTTTTTGCCTACCGATTATTTAAAATGTGTATTTACAATTAATTCAGTCATTAAATTTTCTTCTGAAATACTCTCTGTATTTATATTTCATAAAATTTACAGGTGGAAAAATAAATTCACAGAACCAAGTTATTCTCCACATACTCAGAAGTTCTCCAATAACGGACGTTCCTCAAAAAGTTAACCATAGAGTTACTATATGACCCAGCTGTCCTGTCCTAGCTGTATACCCAAGAGAACTGAAAATATATGTCCACACAAAAACTTGTACACACATATTCATAGCAGCATTATTCATAATAGCCCCAGACTGGAAACAATACAAATGTCCATCAGTTGCTGAATAGATAAATAAAATGTGGTATGTCCATATCAGGAGATATTATTCATCTATGAAAAGTAGAAAAGTACTGATTCATGCTTCAACATGGATGAGCCTTTAAAACATGTTAAGTGAAAGAAGGCAGATATAAAAGGCCACATTTTGTAGGATTCCATGTATATGAAATGTCCAAAATAGGCAAATCTGTAGAGAAAGTAGATTAATCATTGCCAGGGGTGGGGAGGGAAGGACAAGTAGAGGATTTCTTTTTGGGGTAAAAATGTTCTGAAATTAGGTAGTGGTAGTAGCACAACTCTGAATACACTAAACCCACTAAATTGTACCCCTTCAAAGGGAATGTTGTGGGTGAGAATTGTATCTCAGTAAATCTGTTGTTTATTGAATTGAGAATTTTTATGTTTAAATTTAAATAAACTTGGAAGTTCAAATTTCAGTTGTATTGGACATATTTCACATGCTCAGTGGACATCAGCAGTAGTCCTCTTGCTCCTTTTCTTCAAAACAGACATTAATAGTAGATCAGCAGTTTGTGGGCTTTAGTAATTGGTGATAGATAGTTCTTACTATCACTAAATGCTTTCTGACTTCGCCTCCCCTGAGTTTGTTGGCAGTGGGAGCTTTGGAGACTAAAGGTAATCCATAAATAACTCTCAGAACTAGATAGGCTGTGTATTTTTAGAGTATGCTTTTAAAGTTTCTTAAGCTATAAAATTACATTAAATAGTTTGTTAGAAAATTTAAAATAAAGGGAAAACGTAGCAACGCTCTTAGAAATGATGTAGCTGTTTGCTTATCTGTCATTTGTGTTCTAATGGACTTTGTGGTTTTCTGTAGATCTCTTATCTATTGATTAGCTCAGATCAAATCAGCCCTAATCTCTAAGTGACCAGATTCACCTGGGAAATTTAGAAAACAGATTTCCAAGCCCAGTCTTGGAAATGCCAATTAAGTAAGATTGGGAAAGTCCTTGGGTGGCTGTATTTTTAACAAACTCCCTGGTTAAATTCGATGCCATGTTTGGGAGCCACAAAGCCAGAATCCCTATCTTCAGTCCTAATGAATGAAACATTTTTTTATTTCCCTGTTTTGTTGTTGGGCCAAGTTAATAAATCCCATAAGATACATGAGTGGATAGTCATAAAATATATCTCAAGGCAAAATGGTATAAGTGTGATACAAAATTTTGTCACAGAGTGAGTTCACTGCACGGCTTAATAGAATGGAAGTGGAGCGTCAGAATTTGGCAGAAGCAGTTACTGTGGCAGAAAGAAAATACTCGGAGGAGAAGAGGAGAGCTGATGAGCTACAGCAGCAAGTCAAAATGTGTAAGTCCAACCTGGAATTGTCTAAGCAGGAATTAATTGACTACAAGCAAAAAGCTACTAGAATACTCCAGGTAAGCATGAAGTGTACACATTTGAATGTTAAGGTGGGCAGTTAACTGGGAGACACTTTGAGACTTACAATCTGGGAGATGGTTTGCTTGTGTTTGAACGGGTTGGCTCACTTCAGGCACCTTACTCTACCTGAAAATCGTATAGAAAGGATGAAATGTCCCTTGTTCCTGCCACTTTTTTTCTTTTAACTTAAAATTCATTGTGCCACTACCTAGTTCAGATCTTCAGCCTATCACCTTAATCACTGTTGGTAAACAGTCATTTTACTCTTCCTTGTTGATCCTCTGTTGAGTTTTTCCGAGCAGCTGGTCTGGACCTTGCCAGAATTGCCTCACCTAGCTTCCCCTCCCTCGGACCGAAGGTGACCAAGCTTTCTACCTTATAAAGAAGATTGCTGTCACCTAATGTAGTTGTCAACTTTGTTTTCCTTTGCTTCTCTTGTCAGAAGGAAAATGTGTCCTTTTATTTCTTTTTCCAGGATAATTTTTCTGCCTGTGCATTGATTCCATGTCCTCTCACCTCATGTAAGCTGCTTCTCCATAAGTCTGTCTCCTTCCTCTTTATCTTTCTCTTTTCTGCCTTCTACTGACCCAGCTTACTCAAGAGCACATGGTTACTTAGTGGAGGAACAAAGACTAGATCTTGGAACTCCTGCCTAATATAAAAGCAATCCTGGCTTTTTTGTATCACTTTGATTCCATTTCCCTGTTCTCCTCTCAAAGTCACACTTAACAGAATATACTGTCTTCATTTAGAACTGTTAACTTTAACTCCTCCATGTAATTTCTGCCCCTTCTACATTTCTGAAATTGTCTTCACAGAAGTCTTTAATGACCTAAGTATGTATTTTCAGTTTCAGTTTCCACATCCTTTGATGTTGGTTTTGGTCGAGTGTCCAACACTTCCTGCTGTCTTGAAGCTCTTGCCTCCTGGTGCCACTCACGCTGTCCTAGCTCTCTACCTCTCTCACTGCGGCTTCTGCCTCTGTTGGGCCTCTTCCTCTCAAATTCTGTTCTAAACCCTCTTTTTTTATTCCTTTGCATCGTCACATACTCTGCTTCTATCTGTCATGTCTGTGTGACTTCAGCATGTTTCCAATCCTAACTTCCTGATGCGCTTTAATGGCATGCCACACTTCTCTACTTGGGATATTCCAACCCCAGGTCAGCTTCCCCCTCTTTCTCCATTTGGTAAATATTTTTGCCATCTTCCCAGGCACAGAGCTAGAAACCACAGTGCCATTGTGATTACCCTTTTCCTTATTCCCTTATCTCCTGTTGGCTATGAACACCTCTTTGGTTCTAGTTTCACAAAATGTCATATGTATGTCCCCCAACCTCTTCTTTCTAATTATTTTTGCTGTATCACAGTAATTAGTTGATTCACTTAGAAGATCCTGAATGAGTACCTAACTATTCACTAGGCACTGTGATAGGTGTTGAGGATACAAAGGTCAAAAGATGTGTCCTCTTTCTTCAAGGAGGGTACAGTTTAGTGGAAAGACACAGAGGTAATTGATATGATGAAGTCATTGATGCAATAAGTCCTTAAAATCTGCCTGGGGATGCCAGGGATCACCGGAGGTGCGGTATAAAAAAGGATGGGCAGGAAGGCTGTGGTGGGGAAAAGATTTGGGATATAACAGCCTGTCCCAGAGCGTCAGGGGCCTGAGGGAACACAGCTTATTTAGTGGACTACAGCTAGTTCCTTCGCTGGAGCATGAAGGATCAGCAGTCAGGAGGTAGGTGGGTAGAAGCCATATCATGGAGGGCCTTACGTACCATGCAGAGGAGTTTTGGTTTTAGCTTAAAGGTGATGGTAGCAGCAGGAGGTTGGGGAGGTTGAGAATTTAAGCAGCATGATCGGATTTGCATATAGGACTATGGCAGTGATAGGGGGTTAGGGGGAAGCTGGACCTCTGTCTAGTTTATTGTGTTGAATGCATTTGAAGGGATGAGGAGTGAGATGGTGGTATATAGATGGTAAAGAGGCAAGTATCAAAAATAATGGTAAGAATTGAGGAGGAGCTGATCTCAGTTTGTGCCACTGAGGAAAGCAAATGGGACAGCTAAGAGAGAGAGCCTTGAAGATTTAATTGGAGGAAGGCAAAATGGCAAATGGAATCTGGGATGATTCCAGGTTCCTGGTTTGAGTGTAGGAATGATGTTCCCCTATACTACAGAAGGGAAAACAGACATGAAGTAATGACAAGTTATGTTGAGTTTGCAAAATTGCTGTGACATTGAAATGAAAGTTTCAAGAAGGCAATCAGAAATAGAGGCCTTACGCTCAGACCAGGGGTCTGGGCATTAGTCGTGTGGAAATACACACACGTACATGTAAATATGATCATGTTTATTTTGGAAAATTAGAAAAGTTTGAAGGAAACATTCGTAATTCTACCACATAAAAAGGAAAAACTATTTTTGATGGAGGAAGGTAACTTTCAAATATTATATTTAAGGTAAATATATTTTAAGTGAAAGAGCTGATGGTCCTGATTATTACTGGCCTAGAATTATGGCACTTTTTAAACTAGTCTTCTTGTATCAGATCTCTTTTTGCAACTCATCCATTATACCAGGGGGCGGCAAACTTTACAGAGGGCCAGCTAGCACATATTGTAGCCTTTGTGGGCTGTGTGTGGTCTCCATTACATATTCTTTGTTTTTACTTATATGAACCTTTAAAAGTATAAACCATTCTTAGCTTGTGGGCTGTACAGAAACAGGCCATAGGTCAGATCTGGTCCATCGATCAAGTGTATGAACATTGCTTTATACCACTGCCAGAATAACCCTCCTAAAATGCCTGTCTGGTCATATCACTTCCCTGTCTACTTCTGGTCATGTGTTTTAGCCTACCAAATACAATTCAAACATTTTAGCCTGCTGTCTGAAGCCCCCACCAGTTGGTCCTAATTTAATATATGAGCATATCTCATAATCCTTTCTTACAGGCCCTAATGCTTTTGCATTTTTATGCTTTGCACAAAATCCTAGCCATTTTCCCCTACACCTCTTAAAATCCTAGCTGTTTTTCAAGACCAGCATAACTTCTGTCTTTCAAATAAAACCTTCCCTTCTCCAGAAGTGGTTTCTCCTCCTTGGAACTCTGCAAGTAATCTTACCATATCCCCTCTCAACTTGTGTTTATTGCCTTCTATTGGATACTTGTAACTTCCTTTTTGTTTGTAAGGCATTGGGTACTGTCGGGAGTGAGAGATACTATCTTCATTACATAGGACACTTAGCACAGTGCCAAATCCATTGAAGGTTTACTCCAAATCCATTTACTCCATAAACTTTCATTGAGTGGAAAGTAATGGGGGAAAAAAGCATGAGAAAGTATGAGAAGAATCTTGTTAATAAGTTTTCAGCAATAATGTGGTCCTAGGGACCAAAATCCAAGGACATTGTACAGCAAGGCTCTGTTGCATTTGTATCTCAATGGATTTAACAATGGACTTTATATGTTGGAGTATATAATAGGAATATTTCCATAATGTTATACTTGGCATATGGTAGATGATATTAAATATACAAACTAATCTCTGCTTTGCTTAAAGACATTTCCTTTTTTATAATAGTCTAAAGAAAAATTGATTAACAGCTTAAAGGAAGGCTCCAGTTTTGAAGGCCTAGATAACAATGCTGCTAATAGCATGGAGCTCGAAGAACTTCGGCATGAAAAGGAGATGCAAAGGGAGGAAATACAGAAGCTGGTGGCTCAGATACATCAGCTGAGATCTGAATTACAGGTAAGATTCATTATGGTTTAGCTTCACAACCATTCTCCCCAGGCTCCTAGCAGGTTGGAAGGTGATAGATTCTGTATTTGGGGGAAAGGTATCAGTGAAGTAGCATGTGAAATTCCTGCTGGAGTATCAGGCACCATATAAAAGTGAATCTAAAACAATAGGTTTCCTGTCCGTTGATTTGACTGTAAAGTTACAGGAATAACAAACATAGGTAACGAGACTCATTCATTCAACAAATACTTAGCAAGTATCTGCCATGTGCCAGACATCTTCTAGGCTTGGAGTTACAACACAGAACCAGACAGAATCTTCATATTTACTGACCTTACATTCTTGTGGTTAAAAACAAGTTAGATTTGGGCTTGTCTGTAAAACTGGAATGTTTTCTGGTACTAGAATGGGCTTGGGAATGATATTTTAATTATAGTTTCATCCATAATCTTATCATTTATAGTTGATAATTCCTCTATTTATCTAACAGTAAATCGGGCTGTTAATTTACAGTAAGCATGGGGTCTTTGACATAAATATCATAGGTGGGGTCCCTGAGGATGAGAGAAGATAAAGTGCAGGGTCATAAACTTTTAAAAATAAATTTTTTGCTAAGTTCATCCATGCATTAACTCATCAAATTATTGATTTGTAAGGTGTACATAAACTACAAAGAAAGTGTGGAAGTTGTGAGAACAGGATATCTGATCTAGAGCATAGGCCTCACTCTCAGACATGACTATGTCAGATCTGAATATAGATCTCATCCTTGGCACTTAATACATGTGTTACCTGTACAAGACACTTACCTTGCTGAGCCTTAGTTTTCTTACCTGTAAAATGCAGATACACAAAGGCTCTGTATAGAGAGGATGAGGGACATGTGTATGTGGGCCTAGCATTGTTCCTGACATGAAACAGACCCTTAGTAATAGTAGCTGCTTTGCTTCTGGATTTATTTCTTACTGGCCTAGTAGGAGAGCTGGTAAAGGCTGTTGTCCTCAGAGTCTTTTAAGTAGGATTTTTTTTTTGTAAATAATTTTGAATTCCAAATAATTTGACCCCAGGAACTTGAGTAGATGCTGTTCTTACTCATACCTTTTCTTATTCATGCATGTCTTTTGGGTAAGATCATGAAAAATATGATTTGTTGCATTTAACATTTCATCCTTACTCCAGCATCACTGATGACATTGACCTGTTTTCCTACCCTTCTCAAGAACTTTATGAAATCTGTAATAAAGATTATAGTATTAGGTCTAGCAAAACCAGAGAATTAAATGACTATAATAGCTATCATTTACTGAATACTTATGTATCAAGCCCTATACTAAGCTCTCAACATACGTCCTTTTGATTATTCCTTACCATAACCCTGTAAGGGAGATGGCATATTCTCGTTTTACCATCTGAAGAAATTCAGGCATGGAGGAGAGTCATTTTCATGGCCGGTAAAGTGGCAGAGCCAGAACCTTTGTCTCATTTCAGAACACGTTCTTAAGCACTACGCATACTGCCTGCCTCTCAAGAATTCATCTGATTTAGTCAAATTGATGATTAAAAGGGTTAATCTACCTTTTATTAACCCTGAAAACTAGTGGTATGGGAAAGTACTTACTGCTATTTTCCTCTAAATCTACAGAATTATACTCTGATTATCTGGAAGTATCATTAATCTATCAGTTCTTTCAAACAAAATGTGAAGTGCCAGAGTTTGTGGAGATGAGTATAGGACAGAATGCACCAAAAGATAAAAGCAAAATTACAATGCCAATGTTAATCTCATGTAGTACCGTGTGAATGGACACATGCTTAGCCCACATGCGGAAAATGTGGAGACCTAGAGCCGTATCTTTTGCCACTAGTAGATTTCACAGGAAATCCAGAAGTTGATTTTTTAATTTGAAGAAGTGAAAATAGTGACACCAAGTGAAGAAGTAACGATGAGCAATATGGGAAGATGTAAAAACAGATAATAGTTATAAAGCAAAATAATAATAATAATAATATGCTAACCTTAGGTAATATGAGAGAAAAGCTGTATTCTGACTGACAGTTGATAACACACAAAAAAACGAATTAGAACGTGCAATTTCAAGGGGCTAATGCATTGAATTCCTCTTTGATGTTATGTTTCTGTCTCATTAGCATTTGAATAGAGATTCAAATCTCCCAGTGAGTCTACTCATACTCATTAAACCAAAAGGTTTTTGTGCTGTGGCAGTTACAGAGTTCTGTCCATTTGTCTCACCATGAGCCATATTATGTAATAGTGTCAGTTTATATTCTCCTTCTAGGCTGAAGCCATGTGTTGCTCATCTTTATCCCTCCAGTGCCTGCTGAGCCCAGCAGATGTTGAACTGAACAGTTAATTATTGCTTTCACAAGTAAGGTTCATCTTTTTAGGATATGGAGGCTCAGCAGGTCAGTGAAGCAGAGTCAGCAAGAGAACAGTTACAAGATCTGCAAGACCAAATAGCCAGACATAAAGCATCTAAACAAGAACTAGAGGCAGAACTGGACCGCCAGAAGCAGGCAAGTGTTTGAAAGTGTTGATTACTGGTGGAGACTCCCCACTAGCAGTCATCCGTGCAGACTCTCCGTAAAGCAACTTTCCAAAATTCTTACAGGATGGGCTTGGAGTATTAATGATAGATGGGCCTTCCAGGTCTCTCCTGCCTTATCCCTGCCCACTCTCCTCATTGTTTGTTTTTCAACAGATGAAAAAATAGAGGCATAAAATGGATGTGGGACTTGCGCAGTATCACCCAACTAGAGAATAGAATAGCACCCAGGATTCCTGTCCCAGAACTCCTTCTGTTACCCTGTCTGTATTTTATCTCCTTATCAGAGTATGTATGTATGTATGTACAGAAAACTTAAAAACTTCAGTTGATTTTCATATTTTATTACATTTATACTTTCTAGGAGTAACAGTAAATATTACTTAATAGAAATAGAAATACAGCATTAGTGCCATATTAGACTGCTCTTTCTGTTTGAGAAAAAATGCTTATAACAGACTTTTCTTACAAATCATGTCTAAAAGTGTATTTCACTGTTCAAGTACCAGTTATGTGCTCCCCAAGCCAAATTATTTTACTTTAATATACTTATATAGTAGCTTCAGTATTAATAGTTAACCATGCTTATAGCCACATTTTCAGAATAAGATTCTATATCTGATATTAACAACATGTATAATTTACTGAGTAATGACATGTTACAGGCACTTCGTATGCATTACTTTATTTCCTCCTCAGTAATATCTGTAGTTTCTTCATTACAGAAAAGAAAGCTATTCCTACAATTCTTAGTACATCACTTACAACATTTCCAGCTTTGCATATTCTCTATAGATTTTTTTTCATCCGAATTTATCATTCCTGAAACTGGTTCTAGTCTCAGAGAAGTGTTTATTATGAAAGTAGCACTTAAATCTGTTTCTTGAGTAGTGAGAGAAAAGCTCGCCAAGTAGCAATATACAGGGTACATTCCAGACCATCTTAGATAATTTAGTTACAAGATGAACTGTCCTTGCAAAAATTGCATTTTAATTTACTCAGGGAGCTCTTACATATTACCAGGCAGAAATTTGATGTTCCTGATGGTAGTGAGATTATTTTCATTTTATTATGGCAGATGGTTTTACCACCTCCAGTTCTAGTGCCCTTTTTTACAAATGAGAGAGTAAGTAGAAGAGAATATAACTAGAGGCTTTTTATTTATTAATAAGATGTTCTAGATGCAAAGTATTTAGCCTTGGGATTGAATGGTCCTGTAATGCTCCTTATTAATTTAAGTACTTTCAACCTTAAATTTTGTGCTAATCTAGAGAAGTCAGGCAAACCTTCTTGTAAATTGTTATTTTTCTGTCCTAAACCTTTCTTATTTTCTTTTTTCACTTACCTCAATTTTTTCAGTCTGTGAAATGAACAGGTTGAACTAAATGTCTAATGCAGTCTCTAGTGGTTTGACCCATGTCGTGTTCACTACCTCATACAGCTCCCTTTACTAACCCTGTCTGCATAGTTGAGCTTAATGCTTTTGAAGGTACTTAATTCTCTTCCTTCCCTGACATGTGCTTTGCTCTTGAGTTCTGACCTGACTCTGGCTGAGCACATGCATTGTACAGGCTAACAGTGTATTAGTGCTGCTGTTAGTGAATCTGGAGGCCTTCCTTCCCTCCGTCTCTTGTATCAGTGATAGTGCAAACAGTAGTGCAAGATACTGTCTGATACAAATAAGCCAATGAAAGCTGCTTAACATCGTTAATCACTGGGGAAGTACTCATTGAAACCACAGGGAGATACCACCACGTACAAACTTCAGTAGCTACACTTACAGAGGCTGACGATACCAAATGTTGGAAAGAAGGTGAAGATCTCATATTGCTATGGGAGTGCAAAATGGTACAGATATTTTGAAAACAATATGGCAGGTTTTTTTCTGTAAGTTAGACATATACTTGCATGATGCAGCAATTCTATTCCTACTTGTCTGCCCAAGAAAAATGAAAACATATGAACACATAAAGAGTTGTGCTTGGATATTCATCACATACAAATTGGTACATCTTGCTGAAGTACTAACTTTTCATCAGACCCATCCAAGTCTGTTCATTTATTCATTCAGCATATGCATAGCACATACTGAGGGCCTGCTATGTGTCAGGCGTTGTTTCAAGTACGGGGGATGAAATAGGGAGCACTGATCTAGCTTTTGTTTATTCATGCCTCACTCCGTAGGAATTCCACTACATGGAAGAAGATCTGTATCGAACAAAGAACACATTACAAAGCAGAATTAAAGATAGAGAAGAAGAAATTCAAAAACTCAGGAATCAGGTATGAATCCATGTTTACAACTTGGGAAAAGATACCATTGTAAAGCTACATTTTTTTTGAAGGCTACATACAGTAAGACCTTCTTTTCCCATATTTTCATCTGAATTCTGTTACTGCAGTAATATATTATTTTTAACTGATAGACTCAAGTGGCATTAGTAGGAAATTCTCTGTGTTTGCTATATTCTGTGACCTGCTTCTTAGGAAGTACCTTGCAGCCAAAGCCATCCAGGGAGTTGTGATTTACCCCAAGATTTCGTACCTTCTAACGTCAGTGGTGGTCGTGCTGGTTGCCAGTTTCATAGTTGTGGTTTCTTTTTCGTATACTTGATGATCTAATGGTAAGTCTTCCACTTAACAATTGATGGGTCTTTCATGAAGTCGCCTAGACCTTTCTTTAATTGTGAAAATGCAAAACATAGAAAATAACATGTGCCTACAACCCAGATTTACCATTCTGTCACTGATGGAATCATGCATTCATGTGCCCTGTACTGTAGATTTTCCTTTCCTCCCTTATATTCCTGCCTTATGTTTACAGTGTCATTTCTTTTCTTACATTCATTGACTTAATAAATAATGGACTCATCGACCATCTAAATCATTTAAATGAATATTCTTCAATTTTTAATTGGCTAATGACTTATTTTGTACATGAAAAGTCAAATAATTGTAGTTTTTAAAGTTCTCATTCTTAATAGTAGTCCATAATTTTAAATGTTTCAAAGTATTTTAATTTTTATGCATTGGAAACAGCTAACATATTTGAGTATTCCCTCTTCCCTTGCCTGCATATGTGAAATTCTTACAAATGGTAGCATGACTTGCTAGTGAAAAATCAAAAGAAAGAAGCATAAACCACCACTTGGTAGTTATTTGTTGTGGACCTAGCCCTGCACTTAATTTGTGGGTGTGCCGTGAGGAATTTAGAGGGAAGGAAGCTAGTTTTCCTTAAGTGCCTACCATATTATAGGTACTTTGTTAGATATTTTATATTTATTTCATTTAGACATCACATCCTATGAGCGGGGAAACTGAGGCCCAGAGGCTGCTCAGGGTTGTAGCTTTGTACAAGGCTGCAGCTAGGAAATGACAGAGCTGGGCTTTTAAACTTCAGTCGATCTGTCAGCCTCCTTCCCAACTGTATTGGTGCAGACAGTGATTCTTGTTCTCACAGAGCTGATAAACCGTTTCATGGAGAGGTAAAATGGACTCCCATTTAACCATGTTATCAGAGTGACTAATAAATGTCAAGATAGTCATTAAGAGTCTAAAAGACGGTTGAGATCAGCATGGGCTAGAGTAGTTGGACAGCGCTTCAAGGAAGAGGCCGTGAAGGCGGCAGAACTAGAGTAGGGAAGGGCCTCGGTTTTCCAAACGGGGAAAATGTGAACAGCAGAACAGAGGCTGAATGGGAGGACATAGTGGGAAATGGTGACAGATGAGAACAAATAGAGGAGGAAAGTAAGGCATTTGTTAAAACCAGCTGTCAGCCAGCCAGTTGGTTGGTACCTACGATAAAGTTCTCGTGTTCTATCCCTAAGTACTGTGTGCAGCAAGTGCTGTTATCCTCACTTGGAGATAAGAACACTGAGTCAGGGAGGTGTGGCCGTTTGTGCAGAGACAGACAGCTAGGCAATCGCAGAGCAGAGGTGGAGACCTCAGGCTGCGGTCTTCGCACTGCACCGTCACTGTTGAGTTACAGAGGCTTTTGAATTCATCTCGGGAACAGTGAACCGTGTCCCACAGATCAGTGCCTTCAAATATTTTCACCGTGATGCCACAGTAAGAAAGAAGGTTTCTGTTGTGTCTCGGTATTCACATGTGCTTACACATAGAAAACTAAAACAAATTTCACAAAATGATATTTCACATATCATGTGCTCTGTACTCCAGTTGGTCCCACTCTGTTCTATTACATATTTTAAAATGTGGATTGTGACCCATTAATACAGTTTGAAAATCATTTCTGTAGGCAGTGGAAGAATCGTCATAGAGTTTTGGAAAAATCACTTCATGCCACAGTTGACCTGTGGGACTGTAGTAATACAGTTTCTGTGATAACTTTTGTTTGCTGTAATAATTTTATGAACACTTTGTTTTTCAGCTTACGAATAAAACTCTAAGCAATAGCAGTCCGTCTGAGTTAGAAAACCGACTCCACCAGCTAACAGAGACTCTCATCCAGAAGCAGACCATGCTGGAGAGTCTGAGCACAGAGAAGAACTCGCTGGTCTTCCAGCTGGAGCGCCTCGAGCAGCAGGTGAACTCGGCTGCTGGAAGTACTAGTAACGGGTCTTCTATTAATATGTCTGGAGTTGACAACGGTGAAGGTAACGGAGGAATCTCAGAGAATGTTTCATTGTCTTAATTTCCAAGCTTGCTAAGTCACACATGACTGTGGATAGTTACAGAAAGACTTTTTTTATTGAAAAGAAGCTTCATCCAGCAGAGCACCGCTTTTCTCCTGAATGCGGCCTAGGCCGTGTGCGGTTTGATGTGACTGTTCACGAACTGGACAGTGGACTGACCAGCATCCCTCACTAGTGTGGGGCTTGAAGAAAGGAGGCCTGAGGGCTGATAATCCTAATGGAACATGTGGGACACCCAACAAGGTGCTGCTGACAAGGCAAAAAATTCAGCAGGGAGGGCATTTCAGGAAGCTCACCGGAAGATTCGCTTCGATGACCTTCCAATCCATAATTACGGATATTAAAGCTAATACATAGTCACATAAGCATATCCATTCTCTCTAATTTTAATAGAGGAACCCATAGGTTCCCAAAATACATAATCAGAAAGAACATTAAAGATTTTAATATAAGGTTCAACAGGTCAGGTTTTTGATCTTAGAACTTTACTACTTAATCTACAAAGTAGTCATTCAGCAGACCTTTCAGTTCTTTGGCTTTAAACCTCAAGGGTGTTTTTTTAACTTTTCAAAAAAATGATGTTATTTTATATATTTTCTTAAATAACACATGATCACTGAAAAGAAATACAAAAAAAGATAATTAAGACCACCTGTTAATGTTTGCAGTATGTTTTATTGATTTTTAACCTTTTCATACAAATAGGTTTTCATAATATATATTTTTAGCTAATTAATTTATTAATGTGTCATTGATATACAATATTATGAAGGTTTCACATGAGCAACATTGTGGTTTCAAAATTCACCCATACTATCAAGTCCCCTGCCCACCCCATTGTAATCACTGTCCATCAGCGTAGTAAGATGCTATAGAGTCATTATTTGTCTTCTCTGTGCTGTACTGCCTTCCCCGTGACCTTCCTGTATTGTCCTGCCTGTCCTGTGAGTGCTGATTATAACAGTGCCCCTTAATCCTTTTATCCCTCCCTCCCCATCCACCCTCCCACACCTCTTCCCTTTGGTAACTGCTACTCCCTTCTCAGAGGCTGTGAGTCTGCTGCTGTTTTCTTCCTTCAGTTTTGCTTTGTTGTTACACTCCACAAAAGAGTGAAATTATTTGGTACTTGTCTTTCTCCGCCTGGCTTATTTCACTGAGCATAATACCCTCTAGCTCCATCCATTGTTGCAAATAGTGGGATTCATAATATATTTTATACAGCAGTTTATGTATTGCCTCATAGAAATCTTATCACATGGAAATACCATAATTTGTTTAATCAATCCTTATGGTTGAGGATTTAGATTGTTGCCAATTATGTCAATATAAATAGTTCTGAGAAAAATATCTTACATAAAATCTTTTACTTTTTTGGATACATTATTGGAAATGGAATTGCTAGGTCCCTGGGTATACATACTTAAAGGTTTTTTATTTTTGTTGCCAAAATCAGCAAATAATTATTAAGTGCCTACTTGGTACCAGGTACTGTTATAGGCATTGGAGGTATAGTGGTCAACAAAAAAGACTACAGTCTCTGCCCTGTGGCCTTACATTCTGGTGTTGTGGGGAAATACAGGTAGAGGACACAGGCAATAAACAAATTATGTGAGCTGGTGATATGTGCTGCAGAAGAAAATTAAGCAGGGAAGGGAGATAAAGGAAGATGAACATACAGGGATGGGATTGTGACATAAATAGGGTGGTCCAAGAAAACCTCATTGAAAGGTGGCACTTTATTGAAGTCCAAAGGAGGGGAAATAGTATGCTCACCCTAAAGGAGGTCTGCAGGAAAAGTGTTCCAGGCAGAGAGATGAGCAGGTGCAAAGGCCCTGAGGCAGGAGTGTTGCTGGCATGTTGCAGAAACAGCAAAGAGGCTAGTGTAGCTGCAGTAGACTGAGTGTGGGGGAGAAAGTAGTTTAAGGTAAAGTCAGAGAATGTGGAGGAGGGCTGTTCAGGCCTGTATAGGACAGAGTATAAGGACGTTTACTCTGAATGAAATAGGAAGCCATTGAAGGGTCTTGACAGGGGTGACTGATCTGACTTGCATTACATCAAGATGGTTCTGGGTTCTGCATCCAGAATAGACTGCAGGGAGCTAAGAGTGGAGGCGGGGCACAGGGAGGAGCCAATGTGTAACCTACATGAGAGATGGAGGTGGTGAAGGCCACAGTGGGGGCAGGGGCATTTATGTAAAGGCGAGCCTTCTGAATATGCTGGTAAATTGGATATGGAGTTTTAGAGAAAGGAAGGAGTGAAGGTTTTCGGCCTGTGCAGATGAAATGATGGAGTTGTCATGTCTGAGATGGGAAACTGTAGGATGAGTGGGTTGGCAGGGAGGGCGGGAAATCCGATCATAGTTTTGGGCATGCCAAGTTTGAGATGTCTGTTAGGCATCCAAATGTTAATGAAATAGGCGATTGGACGAGTCTGGGGTTGAGGGAGGTGGAGGCTGAAGATACAAATCAGGGAGTTGTCAGCTGTGTAGAAAGGGCGGCCTCACTCTTCATAGCACAGGAGGAAAGTGCTCACTAAAACTGACTCTTGGCAGCACTTGGTATCTGTGAACTTTCATTTTTGCTGATTTCATGGGGAAATTATTTTCTTAGTCTTTAAATTCTTTTTGTAGATATGGAAGTTTAATCAAATATATCTGATTTTCTTTATTGTTTCATCTTTGGATGTAATGCTTGGAAAGTTGGCCTAGGGACTTTCTTCTACATGTAATATAATGCATGCTCAACTATAATTTTGTTAGGACATTGGTTTTGGTGTTTGTACATTCATCCATTATTTTCTTGTTTAAACAGGCACACGTCTGCGAAATGTTCCTGTTCTTTTTAATGACACAGAAACTAATCTGGCAGGAATGTATGGAAAAGTCCGCAAAGCTGCTAGTTCAATTGACCAGTTTAGGTAAGCAGTGCCGGTAACGGCGAGGGATGAACCAGCAACTGTTTTGCCCGTGCTCTGCAGTGGTTTCGGTCATAGGGAACCCCGTCAGGCAGAGCTAGTACTTAACGTGACACTTACCTCACTCCTTTCGTGATACTTGAGGGTCATCAGGTTGCTTTAAGACGTCTGTCTGTGCCTGTATTTATTGAAGATGATTAACCCTGTTTCTCTTCTTTCTATAATGAACTCTATTAAAAAAATGCTCAGTAAATCTCATTGAGAAAGACTCAGTCTCATGGAAACACATCCATTGAATGTTTTGGCTCATTACTTTATCTTGTGATTAAAATAAGATGCTACTATACAGTACTTATTTTATGTATATTTCGTATATGCCGCATAATAATATATAATTTATACATACATTATGTATATTTATAAGATTTTTATTCTAGCAGACATCTACCTTATAAAGAAAATATTTTAACAGTGTATATATATATATATAGCCTTGATGAATTTCACATCTCAGTAACCTCCTAAACTCTCTTACCTTTTAGTGTTTGTAATTAAACACACTTTTAATGAATTGTTGCATGTAGGGCAATCTTTTCTTACCGTTTTGTGTCAGAATAGAGCTATGGGGTTAAAAATAAGGGGGATGATCTACTTAACGTTCGTGAAGCTGTGGGTCTAGAATGCCATAGTCATTATCTACAAATTTTTAAGTATGTCTGTTTCAACTACTCATTTACTAAATTCATAATAATTTTTTAAAGACCTGTGTGCAAGGCACTGTGCTGTGGCCATGAAAGGAACTGAAAGGCGTAGAGGAAAGGTGCACTTGCTTGTGCATGTATGCGTATTGACAGGGAAAAATGTTGCAAAGAGCTGTGAGTAATAAGGTCTGGACATCAAATACTTCCCACAGAAATTTACTTTAAGTGTTCGCTTGAGTTTCTGTAGTTTTGTGCCTTTTAGAAGCATATGTGCACACAGAAGCTTAGCCATTCATGGATTAATTTCAGCCAAACTCTTTTTTTCCTATTCATATGTTCACACTTGCCTTATCTTTTGTAACTTCTTTGGTCCCTAAAAGAAAAATGATTTAAGAGGGACCAAATTTGCCTCCTAGCGTCATAGCTAAAGAATTAGGGATACAGCTTGTGCTAGCGCTTAATGGCAAAGCCCCAGATAACGATGAAAGTATTTGTGCGTCGCTATGATATTTCTGTGTGGCTGCATCACGTCATCATTTAATAGTCTACTGGGAAACAGTCTTTCTTTTATGGTGGCCACATAAATGGTTTAAAGGAGAGAAACTTTAAAAGCACCATAGATGTTGGCACAGGAAGATAGGTTTTAAGTTTAACTCTCCTCTCCTGTTTTCTCCACCCACCACCATTTGCACAGCATCCGCCTGGGAATTTTTCTCCGAAGATACCCCATAGCACGAGTTTTTGTAATAATATATATGGTAAGTAAATTTGTTTGAAAAACAATGTACTTGATTTTTAACTAGTTTTTTTAGCTGCTCATCTTTTTAACTGAAAGGTTAGCAATCCATTTTGGTAGAGAAGAGAACTCATTTTTGGTCTTTTTTTTTTCTTAAAGTATGCAAGTAAAGTTTGTAATTTGTTACAACTAAAATATAAATTGCTCAAAAGCTTTTCCTATAGTAAAATTATCTGTAGTGCAGTTTAACAGTCCCTCCATTTCTAAGCCCCTCTAATGTTAAAAATACAACACAAAAACAACTGGTTTCATTTTTATCTCGATGTAAAGTTGCTTTAATTATTTTCATGTGTTTTCCTTTATTTTCTAAAAGGATCTCAAGGTTGATGTATTTTCTGTCACATTTCTTAGCTCTACTGAAATGGTTACTGTGGTTTGGGATGCCTTTTCATCAGTGCTAGAGTCCATGAACTGTTCTGAGTGAGGGGGTCTGAGAGTAGTTGAGTTAAATTAAGACAGGCAGTTTTCTTGGAGGGGGTAAAAGTGTACTTAAAGAGAAATTTCTCTGTGATCCACTAGAGGGAAGAGTTATTCCTTTGAATGAAAAGTTTTTAAGAAGAGAGGGAATGGGAGAAAAAGAAAAAAAAGTGAATGGCATCAGAAAGGATTCAGAATACACCCACATCCAGGTGATTTCCCAGGGGTTAGAGATTACAGAGACCGCACGCCCCATCTGTCGGCCGGAGGTGTGCATTTGCACACTTAACGAGTGGCGAGGCATGTAGCAATGGAGCCTCACATCCCCTCAGCACTACCACGAGGGAGTTAGTGGAAATTTACCACTGTAGGTCCTGTGCTGGACCCTAAGTCAATCTCTGAAACGTTAACACATTATTCCTATTAAGAATGTCTTCTCATCTCCTCCTCACCAAAATCATGGCTAAACCCTCTTTTAACACAAACCATAACTCTGTTCTAAAAAACCTTTCCAACCAACTTCATGTGTATCTAGATATTTTAATCATGCCATCTACTTTTCATTGCAGTCATCTGATTGGTTATGTATACATGTGCATATTATGAATGAGTTGAGGACTTTCACAATTCTCAACTAAGAATTCTATAGGTATCACAGCTCTTCAGTACCCACCATCACTTAGCTCATCTGTGCATTTGTGTCTTCATTATTTATCAGCAAACATGAGCCCCTACAATGTTGCAGGCACAGTGCTACCCACAGGAATGCAGACAAATAAGACATGCCCTCAGTGCACTACCAGTGGGCCTTTGGTGAAGATTGAATTCATTGGCTAATACAGACGTTGTTCTTCCTTTCTTTAGGCTTTGCTACACCTCTGGGTCATGATTGTTCTGTTGACCTACACGCCAGAAATGCACCACGACCAGCCACATGGCAAATGAGCTGAACCCAGTTATTTGAATGATTGGGTGTCTTTTTCCAGACTGCAGAAGGGCGAGTTGCCTAGAATTCCTGAGAAGGGTGCACAAGATTATTTTGTCACTACAAGCTTTTAACTTTTTAAGTTATTATGTAAGTACTGTGCTACCTAAATCATCTTCTGATTTTCTTCAGATGGTAAGAGTTTCTGAAACGGACAGTAACTTAACAAGCTCTCAGCTCTGCTTTTTCTGGCATCAGTGGTTCAGTGCATGTGTGTGCACACGTAGAGACGCTGGGTTTGTTCACCTCTGTGCAGACCGTTCTGTGTTTCAGGTGACACTCATTGTGGGTCATAATCAGGGAAACTAATTGTATTTAGTGATATAAATAAAATGTTCTCTTTTTGATAATTCAGTCTGCTTTTGTATTTTCACATATTTAACTTTGCAAATATAGATATAATTGTTTATATGTCACAGGCCTGATTGGTATAAATCTTTTTATAAATACACAAATAAAATTTGCTGTGCTTTTTTTTTCAAATACAACTTTTTCATCCCCACTGAACAAGACCTTTCCAGATGGGCTTTAGTGAGCGTAGCCAGAACCAGCAGCTGACGTCACTTGTAACTGAATCCCAGCGGTAAGGCGCCCAGTCCGCGCCCGGCGGGTGCACTTCTTCTTCTTCTCTCCTTTCCCATCCCCACAGCACTAATCTTGCTTTTTGATAATTATTCACTCACTCCCCCTTTTCTCCTTTTCTCTAGCCTTACCTTGGGTTGGCTCAGGACTTCCATAGCCCCTGCTTGTAGCACTTGGGAATCAAATCTGCTTTAGCCACTTTCTCATTTTTAAAACACTTCAGTGCAGAGATGTTACAGAGCTGTTGTTTGAACAGAGACATCTTGGCTTTAAGTCCAGTACAGTGTCTGTTTTCGCTTTCCTTTTAATCTACACGTCTGGATTTTCACTTTGTTCCCTGGGTATTGGTGATCTCTCTGCACGTGTGACACATAGCTCTGGGGTGCACACGGGTATGCTACTTCCTACCAGGACCGTCTTTGAGGTGGTCTGCTGGTGCCTAACCAGAAACCTGACCAGAGTCTCTATTCTGGTTCGCCCACTGTGACTTGAATTGACCTATAAATTCCTCAAAAGATTTGATACACTAGTAGATGTTTATGTTTCTTATTTTTCATTAGAAGGTGAAGTTTTAAAGATCATCTTAGGTATTTCAGGGCCTCTTTTCAACTTATCATGAATAAAAAAGGCAGAAAGTAGTTCATCATCTGAAAGGGAAATGAAATATTAGTGGCAGGGTAGAGACACAGTATTGAATCTATGGGTTTTGTGTCGTGGCCTATCAGAGTCTGAGTTCCGAAGTCATGTCTCAAAATAAAGTGAGAATCTAGTCTTGTTAATATCTATTAAACATTTTTTTCTCTCTAATTTGTAAACATTTCTGGAAAATGATTAAAACCAGGTTACATACTTAAAACGGAAAACAGCACATGCTCCCCATCGTGTGTCGCCAGGCTTCCCGTCTCTGCGCGTCCTCCTGGCTCTCACTGGGATGCCTCTAAATCTTTTTGTTCAGTCTACACATTCTTGGCTTTGGAAACAGTTTGACAGTGTGTTTCCAATATTATTTTTCTGCAGTTACTTAAATCTTTATTTGAGTTTCAGTTTCATTATTCTTGGCCACTAACAAACTGGGGATTTTTTTTTAAATGTTCCCATTCACTTATCCTCAGATAGCATGAAACCTTCTCGACCTAATTGAAAGAATTGCATGACAGCCGAAAATGTTCCCTTCTCAGTCCAGTGTATTCATTTAAAGACATAGATACCTATGCACACATGCACGTTATCAGCTCGGTACTGCTTCGTATTGATAGCTATTGATTGGAAGTCAGATTATTTCATTCTAAGAAAATTTCCCTTTCTCTTGTGCTTACAAAAACAACCATTTCAATTGCTACAGAAAAAAAAGCATGGGTTTTATTAAAATGTAGAGAAATGAGGCCCACCTTGTTAGTTGTGTGGAGGAGAGGCCTGAATGTCGGGCTGGGCAGTCCAGCCTTAGCTTACGAAGGCTCGCCTGCAGCCCACCCTGTTGGGGAAAACCAGCCACCCAAACATGCCTGGACTCCAGCTCCCCATGGCAAGAGGCCCACTGACTCAGAAAGGCCTGAGTGGACATCGTGGGCTGGCTGGAAGGAGGGGGGGGGAACCCGTGAGGCCAGAGAGGACAGTCAGGGACTAAAGGCCACGGGCACTTCGGGCTCTGATTGGTCAGAAGAAAGAAACGATTGAGACAAGTGTCTTATGGTTATCCTGAACATACTGAGACCAGCATCCCTGTTAATAACTCTTTGCCGAGTGAGAAAAACAAAGATTGAGTGTCTCTGAACTTCCACACATAAGATGGGTGATTTGCTTCCCAAACACAGACTCAAATACAACAAACATCTCAAAATAAGTAAAACTTTTCCTTTTGTAAGAACACTTCAGTGTCAACAGTGTTACATACAGAAGTCTTATTTTGTCTCAAAATAGATGTCTTTTTAAAAAGTGGGTTGTAAAAATTTTATTTTATGCCGTAATACTACAAAGTAATTCAAATGATGCAGTGTACGCTGGTTCCTCCTAGGGACTGGAAGTAGAGTGGAGACCAAAAGGCTCTGCTTTCTTGGGGCTTATATTTAAGGGGAAGGCAGTCTATAAACATATACATAGCGTATCACTCAGCATTAAATGCCAAGAAAAAAATGAGGTAAGATACACAGAAGAATGGGGGCGAGGCAGGGAAGTCCTTTGCAGGGCCTGAGCAAGATGGTGGGCCATGCATGTGGGGTGGGCTTCCCAGGCAGCAGGTTAAATAAGTTCAAAGCCTCTGAAATGGAACAAGCTTGCTGTGTTCAAGGAACAGCGTCAAGGAGGCCAGTGTGGCTGAAACAGAAGGAGGGAAAGGGAGACAGGAGTGTGGCGCCAGCCTTGGGGGGGCCTGTAGGCCAACGTGAGGGCTTTGAATTTGAAATCTCATTTAATGTCTCCTTAGTGAACCCCTCTGCCCCTGAACTACCAACTTGTTTAAACAGGGAAAACCTTTAAAAATCTATGGTTTTGAGATCTGAAGACTACACATGCTCTACAGGAAATGCTAAAGAGTGTGTATTTCATTTTGTTGAGGTGAGGGCAGGCTGAACCTGAGGGAGATATTTTCCTATGGATCCCAAAGATACCAAGAAAGAACCCCAAATCAAATCTGTAGGTTCCCCCATAACGCCTTGGTCTGCATTCACAATTAACTCTTCATGTTTGTTGAGGTCAAGGACGAATAGAAAAATGAAATTAAATCCAAGAGCAGAGTCCTCCCCATCTGAAGGCAAGTGTCCCTTTGGTGACACACTTTACTGACTGACCTTAGCACGGCCCACTGCCTGGCACTACCGCTTATGCTCAGAGCTCATAAATGCAAGTGTCTTTAGGGCATTTCTGATCCTCAGAAGGCAAAGAGTATTTTTTTAAGTAATTTTTTTATCCCCTATTGTATCCTCAGTGTTAGACTGAGCCCGTAATTGGCCTTCATTTGAACTTCACTGACTGAAACCAGGCAAAGCACTAAATTCATGCCTGGATCCGGGAGTTGGGGGGGTCTTCACTAAGCTTCCACCCCATTCATCTAATTCCTAAAACCAAAGCAAAAAAGTGAAGTTGTAACTGCCTGGTACATGGACGGTGAGGACTTAGAATGAGCAGCCTGCCAGCATTTCCCCAAAGAGGGAAAAGCCCTGAGAATTTATAATATAGGAGCAAAAGGTGACCTGAGGATATAACTGGTCTTAGATGGACATGGTGAAGAACTTGACTTGTCGGGGCACATTTGGTCATGCTCAGCGGACTCTCCAAAAGACAGGCAAGCCTGCCTCACAGTGGAAAAGACTTCTGAGAGCAATAATATACTTAGATTCAACTGTGGGAATTTCCGCAAAGAATATGATCAGGCCCTTCCCTAATACCGATCGTTAAGTTTCCTCTCTACTCCTCTTAGCTTCATGCCTTTCAGGGCTCGTTAAACTGCGTTTCCATGAAAGAGGTTTATTATGCATGTGAACTCACCAACTACTAGAAATTTGGTTTGATTCACAAACATGGTTTAGGTCCATTGAATTCAAGAGTTGATTAAAACCTTCAGTGTAATCACAGCTAGAACATGTATTCTGACAGGTCGATATCACCATCAAGGGGGTGAAAATTGGTTCATAGGAGGGCAAAAATATTACTGTTTTTGTACATAAGGCCCAGATATGCATGCAGTACATAACTATATATCTGTGGCATTGAGATGTTATAGAGGGTAGTAATGATGAAAAAAAAGGTGGAGAAATACTGGGCCTGGAGTGATTAGGCAGGGAGGCCAGTGTGGCTGGAGCAGAGAGAGGGCTTCTATGAAGCCGGCATCCCAACAAAGGCAACTTGGCTTTGAGCATCACGCATGACCTGGCCCTCACTACCTAGCGAGCTCCAAGCCACTCTCCCCATGTCATTTTACACTCCAGTGTCTTGTCCTGTACTAGTCTGTTACTTTCCAGTTATTCCCTGCCTCTTCGGATGGGCGGATTTTACTTCCTGCCCTGCTGATGTCAGCTGTGGCCTATGACCTGATTTGCTTTGGCCAGTGAAATGTGAGCAGAAGGGACATGTCTTGTTCCCAAGCAGAAGCCTTAAGCACCGTCTTGTGGTATTGCCCCTAACTTGTTCCTGCACCATGAGCCCAGCATGGTGCAGATGGGGGCTGCTCCTTCCACTAGGTCCTGGAGTGAAGAAGACATGCCGCAGAGCCAAAGCATGGAGCATGTTCACAGTGGACGTGTAGCTTGAGTGAAAAATAAGTCTTTGCTTTTGTGGGTCCCTGAGATCCGGGAGGCTGGTGTTTCCTGCAACGTGACCTAGCAAGAGCCAACAGTCCCCACCTGTGCGCCATGCTCTCTCTCCGTGCCAGACCTCCCCGCTGCTTAGGATGCTTCTGGGCTCCCGTCTCCTCCTGGTGTCAGCTTAGATGCCTCTTTGTCTATGAAGCTGGAACTCCTCCAAAGAAGAAAAAAATACGAGGCTGGGGATCTGTAGTAGGCAGAACACTGGCTTAACATGGAAAGATTATCCTGAATTATCCTGCTGTGCCCAGTGTAATCATCAGGGCCCTTAAAAGATGGAAGAAGAAAACAGAGTCAGAGAAGGAGATATGATGACAGAAACAAAAGTCAGAATGATTCAATCACTGGCTTTGAAGAGAGAAGAAGGAGCCATGAGCCAACGGATGCAGGCAGCCTCTAGAAGCTGGAAAAGGCCAGAATGGATTCTCCCCTAGAGTTTCCATCAAGGCGTGCAGCCCTGCCCAGAACTTGAT